TTTTATTTTTAATTAAAATAAATTTAATTAATAATCATTTTTAAATTTTTTTTTATTTTTTTTAGTTTGAAAAATCACTGAGAGAATATATTTTATTTTTAATTAAAATAAAGTTTATCAATAATTTTTTTTAAATGTAAGTACTTTTTCATAAATGTAAGTAATTTTTTGGTATATTTGTTTATTTTTATAGATTTAAGTATTCTTTTGGTTCAAAAAATGTTTAAGGACTTAATCGTTCAAAATATGAAAGTCCATTAGCTTTTTTTCAGACTTTTTTCGTTATTTTACCATATTAACCAGTTGTATAGGTCATACGAATGTATCTAACATGTTTTTTAAAAGTCCAATGAGTTATTTAACATGTTTTGAAATGTTCAAGGACTTATTTGTTCCAAAAAATTGTCCAAGTATTTAATCATTTCAAACACTAGGGTCCATTATATATATATATATATATATATATATATATATATATATGCAATTTGTTTTAAATCAGTAATTCTTCTATCAAATATCAAATGACAAATTAATTCTAAGAAATGTAAATATGAAATTTTTCTTAGCAATAAACATATTTTAAATTAGAAATACCTTTTTATCAATTTGAATACGAATAATTAAATCAACAATAATGGCTTAATTTAAATTGAAGATATTTACATGTATTTAATATGAAAATGAAAATGAAAATAAAAATGAAAATGAAAATGAAAATGGGTGGTTCTATTCTCTTAGGTGGACCTCGATGCTAGAATAGAAGACTGTTGTGAACTTGGGGATGTTAGGTGAACTCCTTTCTCTTATTTTTTAATTCTAATAATTAAATTTATTTGTGTTTTTTCGAATAAATATTTATTGTTATTTAATTAAATGCCAAAAGGGGAAAAAAGTAATTATTAATTTCAGTGGTTAAAGTAATGTGATGTAAGTAGTTGGGTAGAAAGTTTAATTGATAAATTATTTAAAGTATTTTTTTAATAAAATAAAATTAAAAAAACTTATAAATGAGCATGAATCTCATAAATATTGTAATTTGTAAATAAAATAACATTTAATTGAAATCTTGTAAACAATTCATATAATTTAAAATGAAGATATTATATGCTCTATGACTTTTAGAATGTGCTTTAAGAAAAGTGAGAGTGGACCCTCTAGAAGGAAAATCTCTTCCTTGATTGCAAAATTAAACATAATATTCCAAATTTTAGCCTGCTTCATTATAATATGAATTAAGTTGAGAAGCTTAGGAGATGTTTGAGATTGCTTATTTGAAACAACTTATGTTTTTTTTCCTTATAAAAGTCCTTATTAACTTATTATAAGTTAAAATGATTTAACTTTTTCAAAAACTTCTTATTACCGGTTTGGCACCAGTATAAACTGTTTATCCAAACATTCAGAAGTGCTTATTGCCGGTGTCACACCGGAATAAGTCAATAAGTTGTTTTGTGCGTGTTTTTTTGAGAAAATGCAAATGGTTTTATATTAGTTGATAATCACATGTGAACATGGTATTTTTCAAGTATTCATTCATTGTGGTTTTCTTAGTTTTTTTTTATAGAACTTTTTTCTGTTGATGTAACCACATCATGTACTTATGGCTTCTCGTTGTACTTGTTTGGTTTATAATATATAATTTTTCTACTGCCTTTAAGAAAAACTTACCAGCTCTTACCCAATATGGCTAAGAAAAACGATTTTATAGTTGTATGAAAAAGACAGTTTTAAAACGTTAAGTTTGTTTTTTAAAAAAAAAATTATACCGTAGTCTATAATGTTATGTTTGTAACAAAATTCTTGATATTTCAATCCACCTACAAAATTGTCACATATTATATTTAGTGTGTGACAATTTCTTTCCAAGCATCAATAAGCGGGAATTAATGTAAGCCCAGATGATTTAATTGTCTAAAAGATTTATCAGCCCATAAAAAAAGGCCCATAGACGAGCCCACGTTGATGTCTTTTTCTTAGGCCGGCCGGCGGACGGCGGTGCATCAGAAACTTGATAAATGGTTCATTTTCGGGATTTTTCTTTACAGTGGATTTAATACTTATAATTTATTCTTAGGGACCGTTTACAAACTGTTTATCCATTAAGTGCTTATCGGGTTATTTATCTTACATGATTTATATGACAATTACATATAATCTTATCAGGCAAGAGTGATAACAATGACAGACGATGATACCCGGTAAACAAGGGTGATGACTCTTATCCGGTTAGGGTTTACCGGATAAATTATTGCATATGATGTCGTTTCAATGGACTAGAATCTTGCTCAATAAGTTAAAAAATAGTGTAAACTCTCACCGGTAAGAGTTTGGGAAAACTACCCCTCAATTTTTGTAAATAAATTAATTTTCGTAAATAAATTATATGAAATATATTTTATTTTTAATTAAAATAAATTAATCAGTAATTCTTTTAAATCCTTTTTTATTTTATTTTTTTCATTTGGAAAATCACTGATAAAATATTTTTTGTTTTTAATTAAAATAAATTTCATCAATAATCTTTTTTAAATGTAATAATTTTTAGTATATTTATTTCATTTTATAAATATAAGTACTTTTTTTGTTTAAAAAATGTTTAAGAACTTAATCGTTTAAAATATGAAATTCCATTGTGTTTTTTCTCCCAGATGTTTTTCATTATTTTATCATATTAACAAGTTTTATAGGTAATAAGAATGTATCTAACATGTTTTAGAAAGTACAATGAGTTATTTAATAGGTTTTGAAATGTTCAAGTACTTATTTATTCCTAAAAATTATTCAATGACTTAATCATTCTAAAACACTGAAGTCAATTGGGGTTTTATTTTTTGACTTTTCCCTATAATATTTTGTATTTTTGACGTAATCATTTAAAAGTGGATTAATATATGTAATTATACATAACGGCCGTTGTTGAGATTCTCTTTTGACAATTGACACCCCGTCGATGATGGATTAGTCGAAGGATTATTAAACGAACCGACAATGTTTTCTTTTTCTAATTTATAATTTAAAAAATTTACACAAATAGCAATTTCACAAAGTTGATTTCAGTTTAAGAACCCTTTTCTTCAAATAACGAAAGTTTAGACTTAAACTTTACACAAAAGGTGGTCTCTAGCTAAAGTGTTAAATTGAGAAGAAAAGAAAAGAAAAGAAAAATACATATTACACCATTATAATTAGTTATTTAATTTATTTGTTTTTTCATTTTTTATTTTACACATTTTATTATACTAATACATATAATCATATATTAACTAAAATACATGAAAAAAGTAGGTTTCTTTTTTCACCATTATTATCGTATCGTCATCTTCTCTAAATAAAGTGTGTTTCCGCTCAACTTCTATGGATTGTCCCCAAATGTTAACAATTAGTAATACACAAAGATTCTTGTTAGTCCTGACCAAATTTCATAACAAGATTTTGTGACCAATGGTTTATGAATGTTATTATTAGCTCTTCTTATATGTCTCAGTTGGACATCAAAATGGAAGAGGCAGAAATATAAAACCAAAATGGAACATCATTAAATTGGTGCAAAATTACAAATGAGTTGTGCATGAACAGAGTCCAGAAGGAATAATAACTAATAATATGGAATCAAGATACCAAATTTCTAGTTAGATAAAGGTCGATCTGGAGCATCCTTAAATCCATTTGCAAGTATCATTTTACCACAATCTGTTCTCAATCACACCAGAAACGATTGCTTTAAGGGTCTCCTGAACAATCAAAAAACCAAGTATAATCACTAATGCTAACATTTTATACTAAAAGTAATCAAGTTAGTTATCAGAATTTGGAGGATACCATGGAATGGTCCTTGAGACCAATTGAGAGTGTCAATGATTTGGAAGAGCCAGAATTGCTAAAACCACATCAGAGGACCCAATATTTTTAGTGTGGCTTCAGAAGAATGTAAGGTAAATTCGAAGTTTTGTGTATAGGAACAGACCTTATTTGTTCGATAAGCTGGCGTGCGCATGACTGTAGCATTGGCTGCAGGTTAAAACATTTCAATGACCGAGCTAATATGATAAAAAAAAAAAAGCTTCAGTAGTGTCTGCTTAATAAGCCAGCTTACCTCATCTCGTTTGCCAAATATTACAGATACATTAAATGTTGGACTATTCAACATCCCTTCCTCTTTCCTATTAAAATCAGAAAAAGAATTGAAAACTTTATGAAGGTTGTATATGTCGGATGCAGCAAAAGATATTATAACCTCCAAAAATGGGAACTTGTATACACATCTAATGGATTGAAGCATAAAGCAAGATATAACATCGCCATAGTTCTCTAATGTAAGATTTCTACAAACTGTAAAATAATGTGATTTTGATCAAATTGTTGTGTTGTACGTTTTCCCCTCCCACTGAAAGATGTAATCTTTTAATGTATTAGAACGGGGTTTTCAACATGAAAAGCTTAATCCCGCTTCCATATCAGAGAGAACAGTTGTCCACAACGATATCTAGTCAACATTGGTACCATTTATTTCAATATATCCCCATGAAGCGGCGTGACATGTGGTATCCAATAGCATTCTATAGTTTGCATCAAATGTCTTACTCACACCATATATAAATTCATGTTGATGAGAATGAGAGCAAAGGTGGCATGTATACATGATCATACATCTGGTTTGAGATAAACTTAATGCCATCAATAAAAGAAGTCCTGTTTGAAATTTTTGTAGTCTCGTTGGAACCTTTACCATTATTGCCAAAGTTTCAAGATGAGAAGTTGGATTGTCCAGGTTTCTTGATGCTCCTTTTACTTCATATCCGCTAACTCATACGACATACCATGCATCTCTCTTGCCAATCATAAAACCCTTGTATGTCTACTTAACACACAGAACATACAATCTTCTAATCACCATAAGATGTGCTCCAACGTCAATAAAAAAATCCTAGTTTAATGCATTCTAGCTGTTCCAATTACTCTTACTGTTTCAATGTTTTTATGCAAGATAACCAAAATACACAAACTTCCTCAAGAATCCATGTGTTCTGTTCTATGTCTGTTGTTTTAAACATGATTTTGGGTGCCAGATTCTAGAACCAAGTATTTCTCCCAGTCACCTCAAATCAAAATACATGTTTTCCAATTTCCTGTGGCCTCCTTTTCACAGATAATTATACTCTTTAACTCTTTGTTCTTAAGCAAAGACTTTGAATTCTACATTGTAGTCCACAACCAATATATGATCTCGACTTTTGGAGGATTAATTACTCAACATACTAGCATGCACAAACACCAGTTAGAGAATCAGATTTGGAATTATATTATATTATTTACCTTGCATGCATTATGGTTCCCATAGTCCCAATTTGAGTAGCAATAACCTGTCAGTGTTGGCAAAATTAACCAATGCAACCTGCAAGCATTTTGGATTATAAAAGTAAAAGCAAAGGAAGCCATAACTCACCAAGAGTTGATCATCGTGGCTACAAATGACTATATCAATTTTACTTTCCTGTGAAGAAAATTGTAGGCCATTACCATCTAGATATACTTGTATATGCCCGATAGTTGCAATACAAAAGCAACACAACATGGTACATTAAGGAATAAGGATATAGTACTTACGCTTTTCCCAAAGAAGAGATATGGTAGTTCTCAAAATAAAAACGATACAGAATTTGCTGCCGGTTTAATACCAACATATTGCTATGTTCTTACTAATCTTTTGCAAAGTCAATGCCACTTGAAGTTCTTGATTAATTAATGGGACTAAAGAGTTTCAATCACTCTCTGATTTCAGGAAAGGCTCAATGTATGTTGGAACCTACATTCTCTCCTCAAATGCTCTTTTGGAGAGCAATCTAAATCGGATCCACATATTCTCACGTGATCTGAGCCAAGATTTATGGAACAATGTGTCCGTCTAGCCTCCGTTGGAGGGGGGACAATTTAGAGTCCAATGTCTGCTCAGTGTTTGACCATTTTACCTTGATATATGTTGGAACCCATTCACTCTTTTAGATGGTAATCCAACGGGGATTCACATATTCTCTAGTAATCAATTCCGTTGATGGTGGATATCACAAGATCAAATCGATTTTCTCAAAATACAATTGCGACAGAACAAAAAGAGGATTCGGTTGCTATTAAGCAAAAAAATCACTCGATGCAATTAAACAAACAGCTGGTGGGCATAAATGAAAATGGCTGTTTTTCATCAGACGTGCATACTAATGAACGATCACACAAGTTTATGTCGTTCAGGTGGAAAAAACCAAGAGAGAACAAAAATAAAATACAACGAAGTTTGAAGAATTATTAGTAGAACGTGAACTTTTTCAATACACAACAGTAAAGTCCATGAATCAAGAAAGAGGGATTCGAAAGAAAAACGTACAGTAAACAAAGAATTATAGGGGTTTGAAAGACCTTACCTTAACAAGAATTGAGAATTTCTTGTGAGGAACAGGGAAAGAAGAGGTTGAATCATCATCCATAGCAGCAGCAACGGACTGAAAGCGAAGGAAACTGCGAGGACTTTGAGAGTTGAAGATCTTGTTCTTTTTTCCCATGAGTTGGTCTCTTTAAAAAATAACATTGTTTGTTTAAAATTACAATTTTAGTCTTTGTACTTTTGAAATTGTAGTTTTAATCCTTATTGTTTATAAGTTACTGTTTTTGTTACCCTTGAGACAATTTATTTCAATTAAGTACACAGACCAAAAATAAACGTACCAATCCGTCTACCCGACTTCTTCTATTTTTACAGTGTAAAAAGAAAATGTCTATTGATACATGTTAGACTTGATTCAAGTTCTTGTTCATGTTTTTGCTTAAGGTTTAGTGTAAAACCAAAGGGACTGGAGACATTAATACGTAACGGAGCGGTAGTTTCGTAACCAAATTAGGATTCTAGATTATATTTATTCCGATAAACTCGTTGAGGAAATCGAAGGCAAAAAAATCGAAGCTTGTTTTAAAATATTTCAAGTTCTAATAGTAATCTTTAGGTTTTGAGATTGGATTTATGTTTGATACACTCATCTAAGAAATATGATGATGGACATTTCTATAGTGACTTTTTAGATGTGAGGGAATTCATTTTCCACCCCTTCATGATTTTTTGCTTCATGCATATGTGATATTCCAACAATGTTTATTTGATTTGTTACAGTTTTCCTGCTATTGATTTGGTATATAATATGTTCATGTTGCCATTAGAGATGGTCAAATGGGTTCGGCCAGAGACTGATGGAGGACCAGGACCGGGACGGGTATAGAACTGAGACCAGAACCGACTTTGCATCAGGAGTGATAGGGAACAGTTAATGACCAACGATCCAGAACTTATTACAGTTTTCGTCAAAAAAGAAAGTCCGGCCCAGCCCAAGACTTATAGTTTTCATCAAAAATGAAAATCCGGCTCGGCCCAAGACCGGTTATCAATCCAGCCCAAAACCAACCTATTTTTTTTAAAATATTACCATTTTATTACCAATACCCAACAGCCAATAACAAATTTTTCTAATTTTTTTATCATTTTTTGTCCCATTTATTCTCTATTCAATGTTCATTACATATAAGTTTTATGGTGTTTGTAGAAAAAATAACAGCCCATAAACATCCATAATTTTTGCTATAATTCATAATTACGACTCGTATTCTTGTAAAAACATTTTTTAAGTGTATTTAATTAACCAAACTATATATTTTCAATTATATAAGATTAACACTTCTTTATATTTTTTTAAAATCAAGTAAAAAAAAATTATTAAAAAAATACATAGAACCGATTTAAGCCCAATCTGAGTTATTGGGAAGACCAGTTACACCAAAACCGATAACCAAATCTTTGCATCTCTAGCTGCCACCGAAATTGTTTGTGTTTATGTCAGGGACGGATGCATGTGATAAGGGTTGGGGTCCTGGGCCCCAAACAAAATCAAGTTTACAAAGCCTTTTTTTTACTTTACTTATAATTTTTATGTTTATCTAACCAGGCCTCCAATAAAATAAACATGAAGGCCAATTACTCCAGCCTAGCCCATTGGTTTTTTCCACCTTTTTTAGTCAAATGGAAATGTTACGTTAGGCAAATGGAAATAGCAGTTGGTGACCTCAATTCTACCTAAAAATCCATCCTGCTGAAATGTCATTTTATACTTGAAATTGAAATTAGCATGAATAGAACCTTTTAGTTAAAATTATGATTGAAATATATCCACTTTCTACAAGATATTGACACCAATTGTGGCAATGGATAATTGGATATGTTCTAACAACGGGCAACTGGTTATTATCTTCTTGAACTTGGACAAGGAAATTAAGAGGCCGTTTACCAAAAACGTACCCGGCAAGTGCTTATCGATAGAATTCAACGCTATTATTTACTTATTGAGTAAGATTTTTAGTCCACCGAAACAGTACTATATGCAACAATTTACACACTAAGATTTTATAACTGTAAAAGTCGTTGCCCTCACTCACTCTTACCAGGTTTGTTTTTTGGTCTTCACCATATTCATCCGGTATAATAACATGACTTGGTAAACATTTACGCGGATAAACAATTGGTAAACAACCCGTAAGCATCACTTATAAGGATAAAGTAGAAAGAAACAAATCCACTAAAGAATTTAATTATATCATGCCTCCTACAATATTTTTTTCTGCATCCGCCGCTAGTTCACGTAACATTACACCAAGTTATTTTATGTTTCTGTTAGATTAGTTGATCATTTGATGGTTACCTAAGTTCCCACATAACTTTCTACACTCAACTTCTGTGTTTAATTCAAATTTATGTTGCTGAAGTTTTAATGTATTTTAAAATGTTTATTGTCTTTTAAGATGTTTCTCTCTTGAAATCAAGGTTTCGTTTGAAATAGTTTTGCTACCGTCTTTTTTCTTGTTGAAAGAAGTATACACAATGAATAATCCAATCCAATCCAGAACAACCCAAAGAGTATAATCAAACTTAACCCAAACCTTGCAACTTAGATCTATGTTTAAGAATTAAAGTTGAAATACATCAATAAAATTCATTGCCACAATCTGCAAGCTTTTCAAAATTCAACGTTAAATTCATCTTCGTTTTGAAATCGGAAGCAAGTAAAACAAGAAACACGAGAAAACCTCTAAATCGATCATCGTGATTGATAAACATCAATTTTGAAATATGAAGTCGAAATAGATGGAAAAAAGGACTGAAAATGTACTTAGGCTTACTAGACCAGCTTCATAGAGTTTGAATCTCAACAAATCTGAAGAGCATAAGAAATTGATTTACGATCAGAATAACACCTACCTTCCGAGTGATTCACAAAGGTGGTTGCCTGAATTTCTGATCGATAAAAATATACAAAAACAAAAACTTTCAAAACTCAAATCGATACAACGGAATAGAAGAGGAAGGCTCAGAGTGTTGCTTTATGTGCTCAACGAACAGCTTGTGAAGACCATTCTCATACAAGAGGTGTCAGAATATTAAGCAATCAATCATCAATTTCTTCCATCACCACAAAAATGAAAGCAGAAACAAGTTACTAGAAAAGAAAAACCTTTCAACAATAAGGGGTAGAAGGCCAAGGCGGCTGATTCTAGGGTTCGAGTCTGAATTATGATTTGAAGACGACGTTGAAGTTCGGTATATATAGATTTCTAATGGGCTTTTTTAACCTTAGGCCCAATAACTATCAACTGCCCCCCTTCCACCCGTATTACCCTATTCCGTTTTCAGGTATAGTTATATGAAGAAAAAAAAAATCAATGGATTAATATAATTGATAAAATCAATAGAAGGTTTACAAATTAAAAAAAATTGAAAATATAACTAGATAACTAATTATATTTCTATAATATTTTAAATTTTACATCTGTATGTATATTTCGGGTTTTCAAATAGGTCGGATGGCCAAAAATCATACCCAACCCAAACTCAAATATTCAAATGTATGGCAAAACTAACAAATGCAACCTTCAACTGCAAGCATATATGCCTAATAGTTGCTATAGAAAAGCAACATGGTATATTAAGGAATAAGGATATAGTACTTACGCTTTCCACAAAGAAGAGATATGTTGGTTCTCAAAATAAAAACGATACAGAATTTGTTGTCGGTTTAATACCAACATATTTCTATGTTCTTACTTTTCCTTTGATATATGTTGGAACCCCATTCACTCTTATAGAGAGTAATCTAATGGGGATTCACATATTCTCTAGTAATAAATTCTGTTGATGGTGGATATCACAAGATCAAGTCGATTTTCTGAAAATACAATTACGATAGAACAAAAAGAGGCATTGGTTGCTATGAAGCAACAAAATCATAAGACGCAATTAAACAAATAAATGAAAATGGTTGTTTTTCGTCAGACGTGCATACTAATGAACAATCACACAATTTTATGTCGTTCAGGTGGAAAAACCAAGAGAGAACAAAAATAAAATACAACGAAGTTTGAAGAATTATTAATAGAACGTGAAAATTTCGAACTTTTTCAATATACAACAGTAAAGTCCATGAATCAAAAAAGAGGGATTTGAAAGGAAAACATAAAGTAAACAAAGAATTATAGGAGTTTGAAAGACCCTTACCTTAACATGGATTGAGAATTTCTTGTGGCGAACAGGAAAAGAAAAGGTTGAATCATCGGACTGAAAGCTAAGGAAACCGCGACGACTTGGGGAGAGTTGAAGATCTTGCTCCTCATTTTAGTTGTTTTTTATTTTTGAGACAATTTATTTTAATTAAGCATAAGGACCAAAAATAAATAAATTGTAAATTATAGAAAAGAAAAAACAAATAGTGTATATTACTGAAAAAAAGCAACAAATTGTAATTATAAGGATGAAACCTGCAATTTGACAAAAACAAGGGACCAAAATAAAACATTATTTTTAGAAGAATATAAATTTTAAAAATAACTTTGTTTATTTTTTTTATAATTAAAATGCAAACACTTCGTTAACATTTGAATTCACAGATAGTGGTTTTTTCATAAACAAGTTCCGGATGAAGATGTTTTTAGCAATTCAAAAATAATTGAATTACGGATTATGAATTTTTAATATGTAGAATATTTGTTAAGCGTTAAGTTTGGATCAAATTAAAAATGCAAAGTGAATGGAAAAACATGCGTGGAACGTGGAAAGTACAGGGATCGGATGCCTTTACAGCAACATCATGGACATGTTTTGCAAAAAAATAAAACAATTGAAATTGATCGAGGAGAAGGAAAGAATTGGTTTGGACAGCAGTGGTTATAGCACTCAAAATGACATAAAGGAGATGTCATTCATGTGGTATATGTTGAAGTTACAAAGAAAATCGCAAAACGAATAACGAGAAAATAGTAAGGAAGGAGGAAGAAGATTATAAGCTTATTGGAGTTTCACGAGTTTACTGATGATTCAAGGTAATTTCTCATTCCAAACTCCCGTAAGCTTGTTATTAAGGTAGTATTTTATGTTTTACAAGTGTTTGGTGTGAGATTCAAGGAAAATAGAGGCATTATGTATGCTTCAAATGCTTCATATGGAAAATGTTAGAGCGGTGTGCTATTTGCAAAATGTAGCAAAAAAGAGCGAGGAAAAATGACCCATAAATGAGTTGTTTATGGCTTGAAATCGAATTGTTGCAATGGTAGATCCTTAGTATGTTGCAAGTGACCTCAAAAGCAACATGTGTAAAATTGTCATGAAGTTGCATGTGACCAAGGATTGGGCGAGTTGGTAAGCAATTTGCTCCAAGTCGCTTGAAAATGTGTCATATTACCTAAAAAGTTTACATTAATGTACCACTGACAGATATTGTAAAGAATTTGACCCGCATATTATTAAAGGTCCAGACCTTATGATGTATGTTTTACATAAACCTCTATATACGCAGCATTCCTTATGTGCAACAATCTTGTACTTTAACATGCATTTCAGTGTAAAAAAACAATGTCTATTGAAACATGTGAGACTTGATTTAAGTTCTTGATCATGTTTTTACTTAAGGTTTAGTGTAATGTCAAGGTTAGTTAACTTATAAAACCAAAGGGACTGGCATTTGGCTCCACTCCTTCATGATTATTTGGTTCGTGGTATATGTGTTATTTCAACTACGTTTATTTGATTTGCTACAGTTTTCCTGCTATTGTTTTGGTATGTAACATGTTCTTACTGCCGCTAGAGATGGTCAAATGGGGTTGCCACCCGGGACCGATGGAGGACTAAGACCAAGATCGGCCAAAACTGAGACTGATTGGGACCGGTTAAAGACCGGCGATCCATAACCGATAACAGTTTTCATCAAAAAAAGAAGGTCTGGCACAATGCAAGACCTGTTTTTGGCCCAGCCTGAAACCAACCTGATTTTTCAAATATATTACCGTTTTATTACCTATACCCAACAGCCAATAACTAATTTTTCTCATTCTTAGACCATCTTTTGTCCCATTTAACCTCTTTTCAATACATAAAAGTCATATGGTATTTGTAGAAAAAATATCAACTTATAAACGTTAACAATTCTTGCTATAATTCATGATTTCAACTTCTGCTTTGACTCGAATGAATGTTCTGAAGAAACCTTAATTATGTTATAGAAAAAGAGGATTCTTGCGTTTTTACCCTCCTGCTGAGAAATCATTGATTTCTTGGCTCATTTCTTAAAATACTTCAAATGTACACGCAAGAAATAGGCCAATTCAACGGCTTTTTGTTCAAATTCCCGTGAAGTAAAATTCTCATCAGTACGAGTCAATGGAATGGCTCCCGGACCTCTGATATCCATATAAAGAACACGACGAACATAAATACCCTCTTTTAACTTCTATTTTGATAGACTGAATATCTTTTATAAGAAATCGAAGGAAGACCCAACGATTCTTTCCAGTATTCTCGTAAAAACATATTTTTATATGTAATTAATTGACCCAATTACATATTTTTAAATGTATTAGAACAATACTTTTTTGTATTTTAATTTTTATTTTGTAAAAATCAAATTTTAAAAAAATACATAAGACCAATGTAAGCCCGGTCTGGGTTTTTGACCGCGCTAAACCCCGTTACAGGAATACTGTTCAGAAGCAGGACCATTTTTTGCATCACTAAAATTGTTTTTATTTACGTTAGATTACACCAGAGTTGTTTTATGTTTCTGTTAAATAAGCTGATCCCATCTATTGATGGTTGTCTATTGTTCCAACATAACTTCCTACACTCAACTTCTGTGTTTAATTCAAACTTATGTTTACAGTAATCTAATGTATGTTATGAATTAAGGTTTCGTTCGGAATAGTTTTGCTACCGTCCTTTTTATTGTTGAAAGAACTATACACTACGAATAACCCAATCAAACCAACCAAAAAGTATAATCAAAACTCAACCCAAACCTTGCAACTTAGGTTGAATAGATGGGTTCATATATGTTAACAAAATAGAAGAAAATTCATCAAAATTTTAATCCAGATCTATGTTTAAGAATTCAAGTTGAAATACATCAATAAAATTCATCGCCACATTCTGCAGGCTTTTCAAAATTCAACGTTAAATTCATCTTCGTTTTGAAATCGGAAGCAAGTAAAACACGAAAGACGAGAAAACCTCTAAATCGATCATCGTGATTGATAAACATCAATTTTGAAATATAAAGTAGAAATAGAAGAAAAAAGGGACTGAAAATATACTTATGCTTACTAGACCAGCTTCATAGACTTTGAATCTCAACAAATCTGAAGAGCATAAGAAATTGATTTACGATCAGAATAACACCTACCTTCCGAGCGATTCACAAAGGTGGTTGCCTGAATTTCTGATCGATAAAAATTTACAAAAACAAAAATTCAAAACTCAAATCAATACAATAGAAGAGGAAGGCTCAGAGTGTTGCTTTATGTGCTCAACGAACAGCTTGTGAAGACCATTCTCATACAAGAGGTGTCAGAATATTAAGCAAT